GGTGGTGTGTGCCTGTAGTCCCAGCTACTCGGGAGGTGGAGGCAGAAGAATCGCTTGAACCTGGGAGTCAGAGGTTGCAGTGAGCCAAGATTGCACCACTGCACTCCAGCCTGGGCAACAGAGTGAGACTCTGTCTCAAAAAAATAAATAAATAAAAATAAAAAAGCAATAAAAATAAAAATAAAAAAATAAATTAATAATAATAATAGAAAACATTTTCAAAAAGGAAAACCAAGCCCCCTCCACGATGTCTCCGAGGCATCCCAAGATGGGGCTCCCCGTCTCCTGAGTCCACCATGCTCGGCCCACTTCCTGGCTGTCCTTGTCTGCTCTTGGCCTCTGGAGTCATTGTCCCCTTTCTTCGCCTCCAAATCAAAACCTCTGTTTTTGTCCATTACACCAAAGCTCCACTAACCCAAGGCTGGGTGAGGAACAGTCTCCTCCCCTCAGTTGCCAGTATGTACCTCTAAATTACTTTTCTTACACCCACATTTCCACCCTAAACCAGACACTAGATGGGTGTATAGATGTTGACATTTCTGAGAGAGAGAGATGCCGTTTGGTGACTCTCCCATGGTGATGTGACTGTAAGTTGAGTAGTCATCTATGGCTGTGTGTGAGGGGCGTCATGGGGTCTTCGCAATCACTTTGCAAATCACTTCGCTTTGGCCCGCTTAGCTGTGACTGCTGAGGAGTTGGGAAAATTTGCATAGACCTCAAGGAGTGTCTTGGGAAAAAAGGAATCAAGGCTACAACTCCCTTTCCTTCTGAAGTTTAATGTTTTTTACTTTATTTTATTTTATTTTATTTTATTTTAATTTTTTGAGATGGAGCTTTGCTCTGTCACCCAGGCTGGAATGCAATGGTGTGATCTCGGCTCACTGCAACCTCCACCTCCTGGGTTCAAGTGATTCTACTGCCTCAGTCTCCCCAGTAGCTGGGATTACAGGTGCCTGCCACTATGCCCAGCTAATTTTGTATTTTTAGTAGAGATGAGGCTTCACCATGTTGGCCAGGCTGGTCTCGAACTCCTGACCTCAAGTGATCTTCCCACCTCAGCTTCTCGAAGTGCTGGGATTACAGGTGTGAGCCACTGCAACACTGCAACCGGCCTTGAAGTTGAATGTTTTTTTTTTTAAATTTATTTTTTATTTTTGAGACAGAGTTTCACTCTTGTTGCCCAGGCTGGAGTGCAATGGCGCGATCTCAGCTCACCACAATCTCCGCCTCCCGGGTTCAAGGGATTCTCTTGCCCCAGTCTCCCTAGTAGCTGGGATTACAGGTGTTAGCCACCACACCGGGCTAATTTTGTATTTTTAGTAGAGACGGGGTTTCGCCATGTTGGCCAGGCTGGTCTAGAACTCCTGACCTCAAGTGATCTGCCCGCCTTGGCCTCCCGAAGTGCTGGGATGACAGGCGTGAGCCACCGCAGCCGGCCGGAAGTTTAATGTTATTGGAACCTTTTTGATGGACTGATTAGTCTGGATGGCAGACTATGGACAGGATACCAGCACCCTCAACAAGGAATGTGCCATGATCGGGGAGGTGACCAAGGCTAAATTAAAGGACAGAAGGGGCCACAGGGACAGGGCTAGTTCTCTTGCAGCGTGCGGGTGAGATTAGAAGCCCTTCCAGTCAAGCCATGGGCATGGCAGGACAAAAGCTTTGTAGCCTGGAGGATGCCTGATATTGTCCAAGTGAATTCAGCGGTGACATGAGTGAATGGCGGAGACAGAAGCCATGGCTGCCGAAAGCCGGGGCCCCCTGGTGGCGAGTCCCACCACTCTCTGACTCAGTGGCGGATCTGAAGAGGTGATGTTTGTCCACCAAGCTGGGGAACCAGTGATGCTCTTTTGCGTTTGTAGATTTCTCCTCCATTCCTAACAATCCATTAAACTGGACGACACCTTTATCATGGCAGGGAAGTGGCAGCCATTCTGAAATGACAGAGCTTTCTTTAACATATCCCAAATCAAATACTTGGGTAGGAGTCCTTTCTGCCCCGTAGGGCTTTTTTCTGTTCTTTTTGGCCTCCCTCTCTTTTTATTTCTGCCCCCGCCCCATCATTTCATAAATAATTATGTAACTTATAGAATGTCTGTTTTCCTCTTTAGAACAGCAGCCCCCAGCCTTTTTGGCACCAGGGACTGGTTTTGTGGAAGACCATTTTTTCCACGGACCGGGGGTGGGGTGGGGTGGGGTGAAGCGAGGATGGGGGTGGAGGGATGGTTTCGGGATGATTCAAACACGTTACATTTATTGCACACTGTATTTATTTCTTTCTTTCTTTTTGTGAGACGGAGTTTCGCTCTTGTAACCCAGGCTGAAGTGCAGTGGCACGATCTTGCCTCACCGCAACCTCCGCCTCCTCGGGTTCAAGCAATTCTTCTGTCTCAGCCTCCTAAGTATCTGGGACCACAGGCTCATGCCACCATGCCTGGCTCATTTTTGTATTTTTAGTAGAGATGGGGCTTAGTAGAGATGCCTGTAATCCCAGCTACTTGGGAGGCTGAGGCAGGAGAATGGCTTGAACCCAGAGGTGGAGGTTGCAGTGAGCCAAGATCGCGCCACTGCACTCCAGCCTGGGTGACAGAGTGAGACTCCATTTCAAAAAAAAAAAAAAAGACTGGGCGTGGTGGCTCAAACCTGTAATCCTCCAGGCTACACTTTGGGAGGCTGAGGTGGGTGGATCACTTGAGGTCAGGAGTTCAAGACCAGCCTGGCCAACATGGTGAAACCTCATCTCTACTAAAAATACAAAAAAATTAGCCGGGCATTGTGGTGTGTGCCTGTAATCCCAGCTACTCAGGAGACTGAGGCAGGAGAATTGCTTGAACCCGGGAGGTGGAGGTTGCAGTAAGCCAAGATCGAGCCACTGTACTTCATCCTGGGCAACAGAGCAAGACTCCATCTCAAAGAAAAAAAAGAAAAAGAATTAAAAAGGAAAAAAAAGTAAGTCTCAGAGGATGTGACAGGGATTGTGTGTCTTGTTTATTACTGTTTCCTTGGTCCCCAAAATAGTAGCGGGCATGCATTCATTCATTTGACAAGTTGTTATGGAGTTCCCATCACCATACCAGGCCCTGTCCCAGGCGTGGGGGCTGGAGGGAAGTAGCAGTTTGCCAAACACTGCCTCTGCTCTTATGGAACTTCCATTCTAGCGGGGAGAGATGGGTAACAAACAAATACATGGTCCTGCAGGTGGTGATGAGTGCTCAGTGTGCAGCGAAGCAGGCTAAGGAGGGCTTCTCTCCACCTAGGCTGCTTAGGAAGTTTGCTCTGCCCCTGAAGGAAGGGCGGGAGGGAGCCCTGGGGGAGTATGAGGTGAAGGTGAAGGCTTCCAGGTGAGCACATTCTTGGTAGGCAGTACAGGGATGAGGCTGGAATGTGCCGGGGTTGAAACTTGACCTTGACATAGGCTCTAGGCCTCCTGTGACCTCTCGGAGCTCGTGGGACCTTGGAGACCACTCTAAGGACTTCAGCTTTGATTCGGGGTGGAACAGGAAGCCATTGTAGGATTCTGAACACAGTGACAGATCTTATCAAAAGGATCTGTCTGGCCGGGCACAGTGGCTCATACCTGTAGTTCTAGCACTTTGGGAGGCCAAAGCAGGAGGATCGCTTGAGCCCAGGAGTTGGAGACCAGCCTGGGCAACATAGTGAGACCCTGTCTCTACAAAAAGTAACAATAAAACTAAAATAGCCCAGAGCAATGGCACGTGCCTGTAGTCCTAGCTACTGGGGAAGCTGAGGTGGGAGGATCGTTTGAGCCCAGGAGATTGAGGCTGCAAGTGAGATATGATTAGACCCGGGAGGTGGAGGTTGCAGTAAGCCAAGATTGAGCCACTGTACTCCAGCCTGGGCAACAGAACGAGACCCCAACTCTTGGGGGAAAAAAAAAAAGAAGAAGAAGAGCCTGTAGAGTCTCAGGAGAGGAGGCTCCTGCCCTAGGCCAGGAAGGCTGCGTCCAGAGGCAGTAATGCAGGCGATGGGCAGTTGCTGCCTTGGGATGTGTCTGTATTTGAAGGCAGAGCCAACAGAGCTGCTCTGTTGACACAAGCAGGTAATTAGCAAATATTTGTTTGAATGCGTATTGAATCATGAAACTCCCTACAGCCCACTGAAGCTCCCCCTCCTTCAGAACATCCACCTCGCCTGTTGCTGGAGTCTACACCTGCAACCAGCCCTTTTAGCTTCCTCCTGTCCCTTGCTCTGGCCTCACCTTCAGGGAGTATCTGTGGGCTCCTCCAAACTTGATGAGTCTCCCAGTTCCATGCTCTCACTGAACCCAGCCTGCTGTTTGGGCAATGTCTGCCTTCATCATTAGATCACCAGCTGCCCAAGGGCAGGGGCCCTGTCTGTCCTGCTCAATGCTGTGTCCCCAGCCCCTAGGAGGAATCCTGGTAAACAAAAGGTGCTCAGTAAAAAGACGCTGAGTGGTGAACTGGCCTGCACCATCCCTCTGGGCTTTTGCCTCTATTTTCTGGCTAGGCAGAAGGGCTACAAGCTGAACTCCAAGCAAGGGACAACTGCCTGCCCCTTGTCCCAGAATCTGGGTCCTGTTCCCCTCACCCTCAAGCTCTGAGAGGTCACAGGAGTCCTAGAGCCTATGTCAGTCAAGTTTTCTTTTTTTTTGAGATGGAGCTTTGCTCTTGTTGCCCAGGCTGGAGTACAATGGCACGATCTCGGTTCACTGCAACCTCTGCCTACCGGGTTCAAGACCTCCTGCCTCAGTCTCCCAAGTAGCTGGGATTACAGGCGTGTGCTACTGTGCCCAGCTAATTTCGCATTTTTAGTAGAGACAGGGTTTCACTATGTTGGCCAGGCTGGTCTTGAACTCCTGACCTCAGGTGATCCGCCCGCCTCGGCCTCCCAAAGTGCTGGGATTATAGATGTGAGCCACTGTGCCCAGCCCAAGTTTTCATTTTCTAGAGTACCTGTGTGCCCCCACCCCCACTGCCCTCTCCACCCAAACCTGAGAAAAGACAGCCACCCAGTGGTCATTTTTCTAAACTTTTGTTTATTTTTATAGCAATCGTCATGTTTAGAGAAGTAAATAACACATTTAAAAACCTTCTCAGGGCCAAAGGATGCCAGAGTATTTACAAACACATGGGGGAAGGGCGGCAAGACATGAGGGGCTGGGGCTCTGGGGCTAGGACTCCATCCAGGATCCTGCCCCAGGCCCTGAGCCAAGCACGGATGCTGATGCCAGCCACCAGGACTGTCCCACCAGCCACAGCGTGGGCTCAGGGAACATTTGGGCAGCCATGGGGCTCTGTTCAGTGGGCCTGGTAGAGACCCTCTGGTCGACCTGTGGCCCTGCCTCCCACCCAGGGGGCTCCCCGCACCCCACAGGCCAGCTCAGAGGGGTCTCTGGGAAGCACCGAAGGACGGGGGCCAGTGTGGGGGACACGGGGTCTGGGACAGAGGCCAGGATGCCCTGGCCTGCCTGGCGTGGGACAGAGACACACACACACACACACACACACACGCACACACACACATACATACTGTACCTTCACAGAAGAATAGCAACAGGGGAGATTTTTTTGTGTGTGAGTTTTTTTTTTTTTTTTTGTTTTCTAAGTCTTCATGTCTACAGTGTTATTTTTTGCTATTATTTTTTGTTTCTTCGACAGTGACATAAACTGAGGTAAACATCTGTGACCAACACCTCTCCTAAGGGGCAAAGGGTCCCAGCCCAACCAGCAGAGGAGGTGGCAGCACCAGGGCCCCAACCTGGTGTTCCGGTTCTGCTTTGAGGTCAGGCTGGTGGCTGGCCCTCTGGGTGCCTCTGGGAATGAGGGGGCTGGGCTACATAACTACGGTCCCCTCCCAACTCTAACATACTAGATACTACAACGGCTGAGGGAAACTCCCGAACAGGATCTTAACAGAGAGAGAGAGAGAGAGAAAGAGAGAGAGAGAGCACGGCAAGGGACGTCTACTGTGGAATCTCGATTCCTTGTTATTGCAGGAGAGATCAGGATGTCGCGAGGCCTAAGGCAAAAGGAGAAGTCGCGGCTGGGAGAGGCAGCCCCAATGGGCTCCAGGTGGGCCGGGGGCAGTGATGGGGGCCTTCTCTGAGACCTGGCCCTTGGAGGGAGTGGGGGTTTGCTACTTACCTGGCATGTAGAGGGCCCATACCCACTGGGGAGGTGGGGTCTGGAGAGGAGTGGGCACAGCGGGGAGAGCGGGGCCAGGCCCTGGGGCCACCCCACACTGTTTGTAAACTGGACCCGGGCAGGGCAGGGGACCTATAGCCCTTTTTCAAGGTGGGAATGAGTGGGGAGTGGGGGCATCAGCCAGAAAGTGCTCAGAGTTCACTCTGGCCAGCCTGGCCCATCAAAGAGCCCCTCAAATGGCCCAGAACCCCAGGAGGGACCCTGGCAGGGGTGACCTGGGGCAGAGGGCCAGGCACAGGGACAGCCTCACCCATGTGGAGCTTATTGCGGGGGTCCCAGGCCTCCCCAGAGAGGGGCAGGGAGTCAGGAGGGAGCACTGGGGGAGGCAGGGGTCTGTTGTCTCTGTCTTGCTGCCTGGGGGCCTGAATCAACCTGCAGGGGACTCCTTGCCGGATTCCCTGAGGGGTGTGGTGCAAGGCAGGCCTGGGCGCCCTGGGACAGCTGCCTGGGAGCACCAGGGTGGTGGGGGCGCGGCTGAGGTGTCTGGACGCACAGTCACTGAACACATAGGAGGACACCCACGTGTCTGCACCCTATGCGTGTGTACACACACCTAGTCACACACTCGCCCCCTCGCTTCCACCGCCCCCGTTCTCACACCCACACATGCAGGTCCTACGCCCTGCACACTCTAGTGTCAGAAATGTGGGAGATGTGAGGATGGGGTCTTGGAGGTTGGCATGTTTGACCCCAAGAAACCTAGGAGAAATTTCCAGCACGAACCAGCTCGCCACCTGCTGGAAGCCCAGGCTACTAGGTCTAGGCTGGTGCAGCAAGGGCTGGGAGGACCTGGCAGAGGTCCCTGAGCCTAGGACGGTGCGGCCGGCAGGGGGAGCTGGGCCCTGCCCTCAGCTCCACACTCACTCCCCTGCCCTAAGGATGCGGGGGCAGCTGAGACTCCCGCCCTGTGAGCCCTTCTATCCCCAGAAGTTGTCAGGACAACCCCTTGTGGTTGGGGGGAGGGGCGGGGAGAGAGCTCCACTTCTCGGGCCAGTGCCAAGCTGCCCTCCCTCCTGGGCTGTGATTTCATTCGTGCAGTGGGAGTGCGCAGGAGTCACTGGTTTCTCGGGGCCTGTCCCGCACATATACGCACTTATGCGACACCCAGACATTTGCTACATTTTCCAGGGGCTTGGCCTCTCCCCTCCAGCCTCTAGGAGAAGGGAGGGCAGGACACAGCTGCCCTCCGCTCACTGCCCTGATCCCAGCCAGTACCCAGGAGCCTTAAGTCCCCTCTGCCCAACACTTCAGTCCCTTTCTGTACCCAGGGTGTGGAGGGGGCAGAGTGGGATGGCCAGGAGGAGGGGATCTGGGGTGGGACCGCAGGATGATCTGCCAGTGGGTATGGAGGGCCAGGAGCAACGAGTCCGGGTTCCAGGGCTCGGGGAGGCATCTGGGAGTGTGGACCGAAAGCTCCCTTGCTCCTGGCGTGTGTGTGTGTGTGTGTGTTTATGTGTGTGTGTGTTGGGGGGGCTCCGAACTCTCGGGTCTGTGAGGCTTGGCTCCTCTGGGCCAAGTCCCCGCTCACCAGGCCGCGCTAGGGGTCTTTGGTAGCCCCCTCACCAGCCCGCCAGGGACGGACCGGGTGCCGGGCCGCGTCCTGCCTAGTCTACCGCTGCGCCCCCTGTCCCGCGGCGAGGTGGCTCCATTCCCCACCGCCGCATCGGGCACCGGCTGGGGCGGGCCCGGGCGGCTCCCCGGTCCGAGGGCGGCGGAGGCGACTCAGACGCAGATCTCGATGGCCGTGGCCAGCACCACCTGCCCTTTGCTCTTGTCCGCGCGGCCGTCGGTCCGGCCGGGGGGCCCCGGGGGGGCCAGGCCGGGCTCGGGCACCGGCACTGGCACGGGCACCGGCACGGGCACGGGCACCGACCCGACCGCGGTGGGCGCGGGCCGGGAGCCGCTGCCGCTCTCGGTCAGCACCGTCCGCTTGAGCGGCCCGGGCGCCTCGAGGCGCAGTGGCCCGGCGGTGGGCGGGCGGTCCCCGGGGGGCTTGCGCGCGCGGTGCGAGGGCCGGCGGCGCAGCTCTGACGTGAGCTCATGCTTGAGGAAGCGGAACACCTCCTTGGCCGGGCCGCGGCGCTCGGGCTCCAGGGCCAGGAGGCGCTGGAACATGCGCAGCGCGGGCTCGGTGAAGCGGCGCCACTGCGAAGGCAGACCCGGCAGGCGGCCCCGCTGCCAGCGCACGAACTCCTCAAAGAAGGCATCGGCGCCCGACGCCGCCTCCCACGGGAAGTTGCCGGTGAGCACACAGAAGATGAGCACGCCGAAGGCCCACACGTCCACGCCCGTGTCAACCGCCAGCCCGTCGGCGCGGCCCGCCTGGCACACCTCGGGCGCCGTGTAAGGGATGGTGCCACTCACGCGCTTGACGCGGCAGCCCACGCGGCGCGTCATGCCGAAGTCGGCCAGCTTCACGCGGCGGCACTCGCGGTCGAACAGCAGCACATTCTCGGGCTTGATGTCGCGGTGCACCAGCTGCCGCCCGTGCATGAAGTCCAGGGCCAGGCCCAGCTGCTGCACGCATCGTTTCACCGTGTCCTCCGGGAGCCCCACCTGCGGGCGGCAGGGGGGAGCCGCGCTCGGTTTCCAGCTCTCCCGCGCCCGCCCCACCCCCCTCCCCTCCAGCTCCCTCTCTAGCAAGGCAGTTTTCGCCTCCCACCCTGTCCCCAGTAACTGGAGCGACCGCGCAGACGCGAGCCTGCTGCGGCCCGGGTGCTGCTGAGCGCCCGTTCCCTCGCTGTCTCATCCAATCCTCTTAGTGGCTGCTATGCCTGCTTCTCCTATGGGGACATCGGGGCCCTCCAGGAGAAAATTGACGAGGGGGTCCGCGGCCACCTCCACCTGCTGTCATTTTGCCCTGCCTGCTAGATACTTATCTCGTCGGTCTCCCCCAACTAGAACGGGGCTCCCTGAACTTCCTGTCTTGTTCCTTGCTGTGTCCATGCATCTTTGTCCCCAGATTCTGGCATGTAGTAGTTGCTCAGCAAAGAAGGAGGACCTACTCCAAAGGTCTCATCACTCAGCCAGCAAGCGGCAGGGCAGATTTAAAGTTAGTGCCTGAACCCTCCCCCACCCTCCTGGCTCCAGGGTCGCTTCCTCTGAGAGCCCCTTCTCAGGTGGATCTGACACCTCTCCTCTTGTGCAGCCCCAGGGGAGGGCACAGTAAGACTTCATCCCATCATTGTCACTGTCCCTTTCAGGCACTCATCTCCATCTGTTATTATCTGACCCACTGTGGAGTGTCAGTTTCCCACTAGAACAGGGACTTTTGTCTTCCTTACTGCACATCCCCAGCTCCCCGAATGGTAACTGACATACAGCAGGTGTCCAGTAAATACTTGCTGATTAAATGGTCTGACTCCACTCCCACTCTCACACTCTGGGACCCTGAAGACCCTCTCCCCGCCCTACGCCACCATCCCAAGTACCTGGGGAGGGATGATGTCAAATAGGTCCCCAGCAGGTGCGTACTCCTGGGCAAAGACGTAGCAGTCCTCTGTCTCAAAGACCACGTCAAAGACCTTGATGATGAAGGGGCTGGAGGAGAGGCTGTTGGTGATGCTCACCTCCCGCAGGAAGTTCTTCAGCTTGGTTTTGCTCTTGTTCACAAACTTCAGTGCCATTTTTGTGCCTGATGGGAGCAACAGCAACAGGGTTGAAGCCCCCTCTCCCAGTGCCTCTGTGCTGGATGCACCCATGCCTGTCTCTGGAACAAGGTGCAACAGGGTCCCCAGAAGGCATGACTATCCTCATCTCACAGATGGGAACAGACCCAGCGAGAGGAAAGGACTTGCCTAAAGCTATGCAGGCAGGGTCAACCTGGGCCTTCTACACCCAGTCTGCAGCCCTCCAGGAGGAGGGGGCGAGGGGGCAAGGGGGCCTGTGGCACCCTCCACTTCTCTCATTTTGTCCTGCCCGCCATATGCTTATTTATCTTGTCGGTGTACCCCAGCTAGAATGGGTCTCCATGAGCTTCCTGTCTTGCTATATGGATGAATGAATAAGAAATGAGACACTGCAAGGCACATGTCCACAAGTCTGTGCCTGGGCAAGCATCTGTGCCCACCTGGTACCTAGCTGTGTGGTACACACGTGTGTCCACGGAGCATTTACACATCACAGGCCCTGCCTTCAGCACTGCACATTCACAACTCACACTTCATTAGGACTGTATGAGTTGTGCACTCATGTTACCCTATTTTACAGAGAAGGACTATTTTACAGAGAAGGACCCTGTTTTACAGAGAGGCACAGAGAGGTGAAGTCACTTGCCCAAGATCACACAGTAAGCAAATAACAAAGCTCAGGTGACTCCATGTGAGGTGCTCTTCCCACTGCCCTCAGTTAGCACAAAGCCCCTGGACCCAGGCATGTGCAGCTGTGGGAGCGGAGCTCACGCAGCCCCAGCCCCTGGCTGACTGGGTGGCATGGCTGTGACCTACAGTGTGGGAGAGGTATCAAGCTCAGTGATGAAGCAACAAGGCTCTGGAGATGACTCCTGGGGTCTCGTTTTGGTTCACAGCCTCTGTGGCTGCAGGGCGCTGGATATGTGGCTGAAATGGCCTAGGTCTCCCTGTCCTCACCTGAGAGACGGCGATGGCCATACTGACCTCACAGGTCCTTCCACCACCCATTAAGTGTGGCACCCTGCTCCTGAGGAACTGCCCTCACTCTCTGTCCACCTCCCTGGGGCCAGCCATCCCTGAGACACTGGTGATACCCAGACACAGCCGGCAGCCCTGCCCTCTCCAGAGGCTCCTGACACAGCCCCTTGGCTGTCTCAAAGGCACCCCAGATGGCCCCAGAGCAGCCCATCCTGTACCCTGGCCACTCTGCCCCAGATTCCTCCCTTGCCCCATCTGCCCAGTCTCCTCCCCCGTGGGCTGCCTCAGGCCTCATCCTCTCCATCTGGCCCCTGACCCTGCCTCCTTGCTTCCACAAAGCACCAGAGAGCCGCGGCCCAGCTGGAAGGTCATGTCCCCCTACCCTGACCTCCCAGCCCTGCCCCACCCCAACCTCCCAGCCCTGCCCCACCCCAACCTCCCAGTCCTGCCACGCTGCACTTGCTCACCTGTGCCCTTGTAGACCACCAGGTCAACCTTCCCGTAGGTGCCTTTGCCCAGCTCCCGGACTAGTTCGTAGTGCTTGGTGACGTCGCTGGCAGCCAGTGTGCGGAGAGTCAGGGCCTGCATGTCTTCAGTGAGAAGGGGCACGCCGGCACCAGGTCCAGGGGCAGCCCCTGGCCCACAGCAGGTCAGGGAGCGGGGCGGCTCAGGCTCTGGGCAGCCCATGCTCATCTTCTCCCTGTTGGGTGGGGGTGGTGAGCATGAAGTGTGACATCAGGCAAGGGTCCCCTCCTCCAGCCCCTCTGCCCTCCCCAGAAGCCAGAAAACTTGAGGATGGGCCCAGATGCCAGGCCCAAGATAACCACAAGGGGGCGACAAGCATCTTGGTCTCCTCGCCTTCCCCAAAGCCTTAGGGGCCAGCCTGAGTCAGCTCCCTGAAGACCGTCACTGCCGGACCCTGTGCTTGGTGGCACCAGCCCCTCTGCCTCATGCTGCCACCCGCACACAGTGTCAGGCAAGGCCCCTGTTTATGTCACACAGACACAGCCAGATACCGAGTTCACACGGGTACTCCCATTCACAAGCGTTGGTTTTGTTTATTTGGATTGTAGAGAGGGGGTCCCACTGTGTGGCCCAGGCTGGTCTCCAAATCCTGGCCTCAAGTGATCCCTCTGCCTGTCCCTCCCAAAGTGCTGGGATTACAGACATGAGCTACTGCACCCGGCTTGTTTTTATTTTTATTTCTAAGACAGTGTCTTGTTCTGTCACTCAGGCTGGAGTGCAGTGGCACGATCACAGCTCACTGCAGCTCGACCTCCCAGGCTTAAGCTATCCTCCTATCTCAGCCTCCTGAGTAGACTGGACTACAGGCATGCGCCACCACACCTGGCTAATTTTCATTTATTTATTTAATTTTAATTTTTAATTTTTAGGTATGGGGTACATGTGCAGGATGTGCAGGTTTGTTACACAGGTAAATGTGTGCCATGGTAGTTTGCTGCACCTATTACGCCTGACTAATTTTTAATTTTTTTTTGTAGAGTTGGGGTCTCACTATGTTGTCCAGGCTGGTCTAGAACTCCTGGCCTCAAGTGATCCTTCCACCTCAGCCTCCCAAAGCACTAGGATTACCAGCATGAGCCACCGTGCCCAGCTTATTCACAAGTACTGACGAAGCACCTGCTGTTCCCCAGGGCTCTCCAAAGCCCGGAGTACACAGCATGGAACGAACACCTAGGATTCCCTGCCCCATGGGGCTTACGCCCCAGGGGGAGAAGGGCAGTAGACACAGTGATCACACCAGTTGTATATTATGATGGAAGTGATATGGGCTCTCCATAAGGTAGGAGATGGGGAAGAGGTCTGAGGGCCATGATTGCAGCATCACGTATCTTGGCCACGTGGTCTCAGGCCAAACCAGCAGGAGGGTATAGATGTGGCCACACCATCCCACCACACACATGGCCACACATCAGCACAGCCTGGCAGTGCCTCCCCCACCGCAGACGACCTCACCACCCGACTAATGAACACTGCGCCCGGCCGACCTGACTTTTTAAAAAATTGTATTTAGGCTGGGCGCGGTGGCTCACACCTATAATCCCAGCACTTTGGGAGGCCAAGGCAGGCGGATCACTAGAGGTCAGGCGTTCGAGACCAGACTGGTCAATGTGGCAGAACTCTGTCTTTACTAAAAATACGAAAATTAGCTGGGCATGGTGGTGCACACCTGTATCCCAGCTACTTGGGAGGCTGAGGCAGGAGAACTGCTTGAACTCTGGAGGCGGAGGCTGCAGTGAGCAGAGATTGTGCCACTGCACTCCACCCTGGGAGACAGAACAAGACTCTGTCTCAAAAAAGAAAAAAAAAATTGTATTTGTATTGAGACAGGGTCTTGCTCTGTTGCCCAGGCTGAAGTGCAGTAGGGTGATCATAGCTCACTACAGCCTTGAACTCCTGGGCTCAAGGGATCCTCCTGCCTCAGCCTCCTGAGTAGCTGGGACTGCAAGCATGCACCACCACATCTGGCTAATGTTTAAATTTTTTGTAGAGATGGGGTCTTGCTATGTTTTCCAGGCTGGTCTCAAACTCCTGAGATCAAGCGATCCTTCCACCTTAGCCTCCCAAAGTGCTGGGACTACAGTGTGAGCCACCACGTTGGGCTGAGACCTGATTTGTCACGTGGGTGACGGTGAACTAACTCTCCGTCCGTGGCCTTCATTTCTTTATTTCCCCTTATCTCATGTCATTTTTCTAGTTTTATTGAGGTATATTTAGTGTTCAAAAAAGCACACGTTTGAAGTGTACAGTGTGATGATTCTGACATATGCATACATCCCTGCCGTCGAGACCATGAACACATCCATTACCCCAAAGTTTCCTTTTGCCCCTTTCTAAAACCCCATCCCTCTCTGCCCCTGTCTTCCAGGCAACCATTTCTCATCTGGGCGTTCATTTCTCATCTGTAAATGGAGAGGGGTTGACTAGGGCGAACGAGCCTTTTCCAGGTGCAGGCACACATGAGTATGTGTCTGTGTGTGCACCAGCAAGAGAGGCCAGGGCTGCCTCCTTTAGAAGCTGCGACCAGCTTCCAGCCCCTGAGCACCTGCTTCCCAGTGCAGCCTCCCTCCCTGCACTCCCTTCTCCCTCTTTTTCCTTTTTTTTTTTTTTTTCTTTCTTTTTTTTTTTTTTTTTTTTTTAAAAGTGGTATAATGGTCACTAATACACCTGTCCTGGAAATTCACAGTAATTACCATTTTGTCATATTTTCTTTATGTGTGTATGTATGTATTTTGCTGAAACATTTTATTTATTTATTTATTTATTTATTTATTTATTTATTTGAGATGGAGTCTCGCTCTAATGCTCAGGCTGGAGTGCAGTGGCACGATCTCGGCCCACTGCAACCTCTACCTCCTGGGTCCAAGTGATCCTCCTGCCTCAGCCTCTCAAGTAGCTGGAATTATAGGTGCTCACCATGCTCAGCCAATTTATTTGTGTTTTTTGTAGTGACGGGGTTTCGGCCATGTTGGTGAGGCTGGTCTGAACTGTTGACCTCCAGTGATCTATTTCACCTTGGCCTCCCAAAGTGCTTGGATTTCAGGCATGAGCCACTGTGCCTGGCCAACATTTAAAAGTTGCCTGAGGTCCAGCTATTGGAGAGGCTGAGGCAGGAAGATCACTTGATCTCAGGAGTTTGAGGCTGCAGTGAGCTACGATCACGCCACTGCACTCCAGTCCGGGTGACAGAGCAAGACCCTGTCTCTAAAACAATAATAATAATAGTAATAATAATAAATAAATAAAATAAAAGTTAGCTGGAGATATCGTGTCACTTGACCTCCCTAACAACTGCAGTGTGAATCTCCTAAAAATAAGCCGCTTTCCCTTATAGCCAGCCGCATGTCACCACTCTACGCAAGAAAAATTAATATAAATTTTCTAATATTGAGTCCATGTTCAAATGAACCCAATTATTTCCTGAATGCATTTTAAAGATGTTTAATTTCCAAATCAGGACCCAATCAGGTTTGCACATTGTGGTTGGCTCCAGTGTCTCTTTGGAGTCTCCTAGTCTGGAACTTCACAGTGTGGTTGGAGAGCAGCAGCATGAGTATCACCTGGGAATTTGCTAGAAATGCAACTTCACAGGCCTCACTTCAACCTGAATCAAATTCTGGGTGGGGTCCAGGAATCTGTTTTAACAAGCCAGGTGTTTTTCTTTTTTTTGAGATAGGTCTCGCTTCACGCCCAGGCTGAAGTGCAGAGCTGCTCACTGCATCCTCCTCCTCTCCCAGGTTCAAGTGATTCTCCTACCTCAGCCTTCCTGAGTAGCTGGCACTACAGGCACCTGTCACCATGCCCAGCTAATTTTTGTATTTTTAGTAGAGATGGGGTTTCGCTATGTTGGCCAGTCTGGTCTAGAACTTCTGACCTCGAGCAATCTGCCCACCTCCGCCTCCCAAAGTGCTGGGATTATAGGCACGAGCCACTGTACCTGGCCTCAGCTAGTTATCTTCATGGCTGTCTCTATCCCTTTTCTTTTTATTTAATAATATTATTATTATTTTTGCAGAGATAGGTCCCACTATACAGCCTAGGCTGGTCTTGAGCTCTTCGCCCAAGTGATTCTCCTGTCTTACCCCAAGGCCCTAGAATTACTGATGTGAGCCACTGTGCCTGGGCTGCCTTTTCTTTCTCTGTGCCTGGCTAGTTCTTCTCTCTTTCTCTCCTCCTTCTGTTCATTTTCCTCCTTTCCTCTCTTCTTTCTCTCTTCTCTCTCTGCAAAGAAATTGCTTCCTTCCCTTCCTGGGTATGTGTATTTCCCAGCCTTCATTGCTGTCAGGTGTGGTCACGTGACTGGTTTTTGCTGGTGGAAGGTGGGTGGAAATCCACGCCGCACCCCGTCTGGGGCTGAGATGGTTAAGATCATGGATCTGTCTTTTCCTCTGCATTGTTTGGTTATCTACCAGTGGAGGCTCTGAGAGAGAGCAGAACCACAAGGTGGTGGTCCTGGCGGCTGAGGGGAAGACCTGCCTTAGACTGTTATCTGAGCAGGTAATAAACTTCTATAATGTTAAGCCACAGAGATTTGGGGGCTTATCTGTTCCAGCAGCCAGCGTATCGCAAGCACCAACACATGGACTTCTCCGCTTTTCTAGGCTTTCAACCAAACACACCTGCCCCACTAATTCCTAAGTTCTCGTGAGCTTTAATTATAGCAGATACTGACTGGCTTCTCTCATCTCAATTGTAACCTCCTTGTAATGGGCCCAGTTTGGGACTCCTTTTGAGCCAAGCCCAAAATGATCAGCTATGGCTGGTGGGGACAGTCCTAAGATTTTGGAGATGACAGAGGCGCTCCACCTTCCCCTGCCAAACGGTAGGCCATTCTCTGTTGTTTTTTTTTAATTATTATTATTATTTTAAATAGCTGAAATCTCATTATGTTGCCCAGGCTGGTCTTGAACTCCCTGGCTCAAGAGGCAGGCCGGGAGGTGGCTTCACACCTGTAGTCCTAGCACTTTGGGTGAGGCCGAGGCAGGATCACCTGAGGTCAGGAGTTCAAGACCAGCCTGGCCAACACAATGAAACCCTCTACTAAAAAAATACAAAAATTAGCTGGGCATCGGTGGCGGGCTCCTGTAATCTCAGTTACTTGGGAGCTGAGGCAGGAGAATTTCGAACCCAGGAGGTGGAGGTTGCAGTGAGCTGAGATGGCGCCACTGCACTCCAGAC